CCCACGCTCTTTACCGTTCGCTAGCGGACGGCAAAGCTTTTTGCCCTCGGTTGGCGTCCGCTGCCTCTTTGCCGTCCGCCAGCTGACGGCAACGAGTTGGCAGACGACAAATTAGCAAATTCCAGTAGTGTGGTATATGTCTGCGGAGATGACGATGGTACGGCGGCGGCGTGACAACTTGTGAATAGAACTCAAAATTCTAAAGGACTAGATACTAAGACCAGTAACCAGACACGATGATGCAACCACAAATTCAACAATGCAAAACCCTAAAAAGATTATGTAAAGGCTCAGTTTGGTTCGGATATGATGAACTAATCCTAATTTTTTTAGGCTTTTTCATGGACTGTGGGTATGAAGAACAGACTCGATCTAAACTATGAAAAACTATAAAATCTCAGAGAGGCAAAGGTGTCCCGTCTTTCGATGGAGATGGTGGCTATTGTTCTTGATGGAGTAGACTTTGATGATCCGACTACGAACATGTGAGGACGTCGCGCCTTAGCAATTGCTAAACCAACTCAGAAAGGTTAATGACCATGCCAGAGCATGATCAAGCTGACCACGAGCGTCTATTTCCTGCAAGCAAACGAAGAACAAGCAGGAAATTGAAATTGCAATCTGGATATTGCGAATAAAAGAGGAAATCTTTATTGATCAAGGTGGGGTTCTGTGACGTCTTGGTCTGGTCGTTGAACACAAACGAAGTACGCGAAGTTGCAATTATGGCGAACTTTAAATCTAAACAAAACCTCAAAGTCTAAACGGTGCCCTAAGGGCTGTATATATGAAGGAAGAGGGGGAAATTTTGTGGCCCTTCACGGAGGGGTGCGAAACCAACCCTATCCCTTGTTTCCCCACACATATGGACTCTAAAAACAGCCTATACTCAAGTATTTTGAAATTACATGGGCGTGGCCCAATAATAAGGTGATACAACACCTATAATAGCATCTGGACAAAATTTGTGAAGTGGCATCTTGTATATTTCGTCTAAGCCTTCATGCACTTATTACGGTGGCTTCATAGTACTGAAATAATCACTTGAAACTCCGTTCTTGTTCCCCTTGCGCATGCCATCATCTCCATGCTTTTTTTTGCTCCAATGTTCATCCTTCCCCAAGCTAGGCCCTTCATTTGTAAGAAAAACAGATGTATCCAATTTACGCAGCATCATATTCTCATAAACATTAGAATCATTATCAAGAAACGAAAATACCTGGTAATTTAATTAACGTGCGTGAGGTCTAGTAATTGGTCCAATATGTATAGCAGCAGGGGTTGTGAGTGTAACAATGATATTGATGTCCTCATCGGGGAGGAGCTAGAGTGGGGGATCAGGGGCGCCCTGGCGCCGCTCAGCGAGCAGCGCGGGAGCGAGGGGAAAGGTTGCCCACCAATTTGTGAGATTGCTGGATGAAGATACCTATGACAGATCACCAGCGATGGTTGTATGCCAGGAGATAAAAGAGCCAAGTGCAAGTTTTGATTCTTTCACTATTGATTACATTGGGACAGAAGGAAATGTGTGGCACATATTTTTGCCAAGCAACCTAGAGCTACTACTAGACATAGATGTCTTTGGATCACCTTTGTTCCAAAAAAAATTAGCTTATGCTTTGCAGTTTGTTTGTAACCCCGATTATAATGATCAATATTAAATCTCTTCATGTCTGAAAAAGAAAACGAAGCAGGCCGTACGTAAAGAGGAGACGTACGACTCCTAGCTTGTTAAGCTCCCTGCGTCCAATATAATTAACAAGGGTCCGGCCCAAACATTGCAAGCGTACCTCCTTCTCCTCGATAAGATTACCGGAGACCTACACCACCCGCCTTACGTATGTGCCTACGACGTCGGCGCAGATGTCCTCCAAACTCCCCGACGACCTCCTCCACCTGGTCTACAGGCGGATCGCCAATCCGCTCGGCCGTGTGCGCTTCGCCGCCGTCTGCAGGGCGTGGCGAGCCGTTGCATCTTGGCGGCCGCCCCCGCCGCCTCTTCCGATGCTGATCCTCTCGCAAGTGGATCATCGGATCTCACCTTGAGGACGCCACGCTCACCTCTACTGCCTTGAGGACGGAGGGGTCCTGCGTCTCCGCCTTCCACCCACACCCAAAGTCGTCGCTCGCAAGTGGATCATCGGATCTCACCAAGGTGGATGGGTTGCCATGGTGTCCGCTGGCCGCATCATGGTACTGAACCTCTTCTCCGGCGCCAAGGTGGCGCTCTCAGAAGAGCAAAGGAGGATCGACGCTAGCGATAACTCCACCGATCCCTCCAGAATCTCCAAAATCATCTTCTCGGAGGAACCCACGTCCGAGACGTGTATCCTCGCCGCCATCACCCGCGGCTCCATGGTCGCTCTTTGCAGAGTCAGTTGTGCTAAAGGGTGGACCGTGAAAGCATGTGGCATGGGGTACCTCAAGGATATAGCCTTCTGCCATGGGGAGCTCTACGGGCTCCGGCTAGATTATCAGGAGGTCAGACTGCTCAAGTTTGGCATCGGCGGCGGCACAAATAAACCTGTACTGGTCACGACCATCCAGACCGTGGTCATCCAAAGCCTTCCTTATCTTTTGTGGGAGGAAGATGATTATGCGCCTGTGCATGCCATCTACATCTTTGAGATGGGCAACAAGCTGACTATGGCGGTCAAGACCGGGGAGTATTTCTTCAGGCTATTTCAGCTAGTCCGCCTAGTTGTCGATGTCAACACACACTATAGGTGGGAAGAGATGACAAGCTTGCATGACTACGCACTATTCTTGGGCCCAACGTGCTCCACGGCTGTAGGGGTGTTTGCGGAAGGGCGTGGCGGCGTGCAGAGAAACCACATCTATTACTCCAACGAAAGATATGGCCATCTTCCTTCTCATAAGAGGTATCTCACAAAATTGGCCGATGGTCGTGCCGTGTACTACGACGATGATGAAATAGTTTGCTACGACGGGAAGGTGATTATGTCAAAAGGATTTTATGGCGAGCGTGGCGTTCAAGCTGCCATGTGGCTTGTCCCACCACACGTGTAGCAAACTACAACGATTTCAAAATCAAAGTTTGTGATGACAGGAAGGTGATTGTGTCATGTCGATTTTATTCTGTATAAGCGTGACGTTCAAGCAGACATGTGGCTTGTCCAACCATACATGTAAATTAATAGATATTTCTAGCACCATGCTTAATTTGGTCATTATCAATGGCAAGGCACTAGCTTGCTACTGCGATGAAAATTGTCTCATGACTGTATGCATTGTGTGATGCAGAGCCCCAGGTATGTCCTCCTTTTCGAAGGGAAAAATGTCACGTCGCTTATCATTATTTTGCCGGCCCTAAACAAGCCTTGGAGAGTCCAGATCTCAATGTGGCATTTTGGAGAGATGTCAGTATCGTTGGGTGTTGTACAAGAATTTTGCAAATGCACTTTATATGTAAATTCGAAAGTTAAGGAAGATAGCAGTATAATACTTCAGCAAGTAAAACTTGTGCATGGCCCAATTCCCTCGAAGAAAATAGCTGGCCCAATTGTGCAAGAGAGATATGACTCGCAGGGCCGACGATCCTACAATCCTACGATACGAGTTGCGCCTATCACACAACCTGACCCGGCCTCTTGCCTCTCATCACAGTCAGCAAACGTTATAAGCGGCGGTGCGGCAGAGTATAGGGCAGGGGAATAGCCACGGCGGCGCAGATGGCCGTGCCCCTCATGCCTATCGACGAGTCATCAACAAACCGCAGCGTCTGTGTGGCGATGCAAACCGGCGGCAAGGCTAGTAGGGAGCAATCGCATGAGGGCGAGGCGGCAACCCAAGACAATGCCATTTAAGGACCTAAAAGTGAGGATCCTGGGCGGTTTGGTTCTATCTCTAATCCCTCGTCTAATTTTTTGTCATACAGAGGCTGGATGTGTGCTCATTCAACATGCTTAATTATTATTCACAAGTTCAGTATTGACATGCTATCAAATAAGACAATCAAGAGCCAAGGAGCAAACAGCAAAATAACCTCTTGGGCAGCAAAAAAAACCTGGCGATAAATGGTAGTGAATTGCTGAAGCAGACCATTCTGTCATTTACAAGTTCCGTAGTGAACTGCTCTCCATAATACAACCACAAACCAAGGATCAGAGTAGTCTCTTGAACACTAGTTTTTGAAACAAGGTTTACCTGAACCAAGCCATACTAAATGTTTCTGAATTTTTGGCTAGACAAATGGTACTAGTATAATATCATGAACTAAAAAAATTAATATATTTCCTATAACAGCATCTATGAGATCAGTTTTTTGGAAATAATCTATGAGATCAGTTATGTTTGTGGCGTGCAGACAATTTTTCGCTGCTATAACTGAAAACATATCAAACCTTATGTTTTACAACCAATTTGGTGGCTTATGTTCAGCACTTCTTCTGCTAATTAACCATCTAAGAAGAGAGGGTTATGATACTGTTAATCACTACTATAATGTCTTTCTATCGACTCATCATCAGAGCTGAAGGTGCAAATCTATAAGAGCTTTGTGGCGGTTGGAGTTGACTCATATGTAGTGTGGGTGTTGGTCCTGCTGCTGCTGTACATAACATTTTGGAGTCTGAAGCAACACACGCACTTGGAAGACATTATTGTGGTGTTTGTTTCTCCTGACCTTTTGGATAACTCAACATTAGTGTAGCTCCAGGAAAAGCACACATAAAGAACAATTGATCGGAACAAAGTGAGCTCATTACATTCTTTTGATTCATTGATGATAGCTAAGCACCTGGTTACAACCAAGTTTACAACATTACAGAGAGTGTTAACACTTAACACTAAGTTTATTTAGAGAAAAAACAGGATGAAGAAAAGGAGCTGCCATGGAAGCAAATAGACCAATTGCACAAGGGAAATGGATGCGGCAAAGGAGAATCTCCAGAAACATGCTGTTGAAAACCAATGTGTGCACCCGCAAAAAAAGAAGAAAAAGAAAACCAATGTAGTGATGAGCTCGGGCTTAAGCAGAACTACCGAGGATACCTTGACGATAACATGAACTCTTCTTCCATACTATACTGCCTGGATAATTCTTCGCTCCTACTTCCATCAACAGTAGGCGGACAGTTTCGTACATTACCCTTCTCATGTCCCCTGGATGCTTGAGTGCCTTCGAGTTTGATCTCCACCTGCTTCATCGACGGACGATCCTCTCCTCTTAATGTTATACACATTACTGCAAGTGCTGCAACTTCTTCCATTTCTCTGCCTCCCTCTTCCATAACTTGGGGATCTATTATCTCGGACAAATTGCCTTGTGTGAATAAGGTAGAAAAGTGTGTGACAAGGCCTTCCTCTTCAGAAGAGATGTATGAAAATGTTTTCTTTCTAGTCAATAACTCCAGAAGCAGGACACCGAAGCTGTACACATCACTCTTTTCCGTGAGACGCCCTGTATAGAAATACATTGGGTCTAGATATCCTCTTGTACCTTGCACTCTTGTTGTGACTCCTGATCTATCCACCGGAACATATCTTGAAGCTCCAAAGTCTGCGACTTTTGCTGTTAGAGTATCATCCAAAAGTATGTTAGCAGACTTGATATCTCTATGGCTGATGGGTACTGAAGTTGTTGAGTGAAGATAGGCTAAAGATCTGGCAGTCTCAATTGCTATCCGTAGCCTATCATTCCATGACAACGATTTTGGCCCATCAACATGAAGATGATCATAAAGTGTACCGTTGGATATAAACTCATAGACCAACATGGGGACCTCTGTTTCAAGGCAACATCCATAGAGTTTTACAACATTTCTATGGTTGATCTGTGATAGAATAGCAACCTCATTAATGAACTCATCAATCTCCTTTTGAATCGCCATCTTTGGTTTCTTGATGGCCACAACATGGAGATCTAATAAGATCCCTTTGTAGACTGTACCATGCCCCCCACCACCAAGCTCACGGGCCTTATCAAATTTGTTTGTTGCCTTCTCAAGCTCATCTAAGGTTATAATCATTCTTTCTGCAATATCAGCTCTTTGTGATACCAATTGTCTCAACAATTGTCCACGATTTTTCTCGAAGAACTTCTGTTTCAACATCTGTGCTTTTCGATGTTTGAATTTCTTATGTGTGAAAGATCCAGCAACAACAAATAGTATGATGCCTGCCCCAACAGCAACTCCTATGGCGAGGTATATACCTACAAAGATGTACATTGTATTAGTAATTTTGCCTATCATGAGATCATAGTATTATACACCTGGTCTACAGTTACTCAGCAGCAGGAGTAATAAAAGTAGTTCACTCAAGTAACCTTTTGGCTTCGTGAGTTCATATGGCAAGAAGAAAATGGTTTTCAGGTAGTTCAGAGTTTGAGACAAATAATTTTGAATGTGAGAGTTCAAGTTGGACCAAGAAACATACATCAAGTTCTCTTCTTATTGATTACAAGTAATGAGCAAGCATTTTAATGGGAAGAAGCAAATTAAGTCGATTAGTATCGACACTATAGAATGCTAATATGTATTGCTTAAATAAATACCAAGTGATACAATATGTATCGACACTAGGAGGAAAGTTCCAGCATTTCTCACTTGTAGATAAAGGCTTGTGGCCACCTGTAGGCAAAAGTGAAATACACTAGGTTAAAAACTATAGAAGAAGAAGAACAAGGATATTAATAGCGTCAATATATATATTAGAATCGTAGATACATGTTCTAACCTTTGCATCCGTCGTCAAGGTAGGGGTTGCTGCCAGGTTTGTGGTAGCCATCCATGCACTGGCATAAATAGCCTATGCTCCCTCGTTTGCAGTAGCTGTTCTTGCTCTTGCAGAGCTCGAGGGCTACCTCCGCTGGACAGCCTGGGTGCGCCTTCATGTCAGCTGGTCGCGGCAAGCCCTGCACGACCTCCCATTGCAGAACTTGGGGAACCTGCACCTTGTCCGTTTCGGATTCTTCCCGCCCTGCCATATCCTTGGACAACCGCCGCTGATCAAACCACCCCTCCTCTGCGATTAGCATGTATGCGGGCTGCAATGTCGCCTCCTGGTCGCCGTTCTTGTTGATCTTTTGATACATCCACGCCGTAGGCAAGCCATTGGAGGACATGGAGATATGCGCCTGGCAGCAGCCCATGCCGTTGCAGTTTCTGCCTGTACGACGCAGCGCGGTTTTGACGTTGGTGTCACTAACTTTGGAGGAGCAGAAGGAGGCACAACCGCTGATGAAATCCTCGGGGCCATCTCCGATCTGGACTTGTTCCTGAAGGTTGCAGCCTGATAGGATGAACTCGTTGCTAGTCGATAGTGAGTAGGGCGCCTCCGAGTAGTTGCCAAACATTAAAAAACTGGTTGAGTCGGTGGGTTCGATACGGCTGATGGCGTTGCTGCGGAGGACGCTCACTGTGTTGTTTCGGAGGGAGATCTCCCTGACCTGGATGGAGCAGTCCTTGCCGATGTCAGGGTCGCTGGGGTCCTGGAGAACGATGAGTAACTTTGGTGGTTGTTGGCTTATATCACAGATGAGGTTGAACCCTGGCCAGTAGCAATCGGCAGAGCCAATGCCGAATGGGTACGGCACATCTACGTCGCCACAGGTCGTCCTGCAGTTACCTATTACAGAAAGTAGCTGCGTCATTATTCATTGACTTCAATTCTCTCGAATCAGGCTTTATCTATAAAGCGGAGCATGGATCCTTTTACAATAGTACTGGTAGATTAGTGCACTTTTTAGAGTAGAAGCTAGCCAATCATTTTCGCACCTCAAAATACAAACCTGCTGTGGACACCTCTACATGTCCATGCATCTTTGTCAGAATTTGTATGTGTGGAGTAGCGTGGCATTTAAACCTTCACATGTCACTCTCCCACAGAACAGACTGCTATTATATTTATAGCGAATATTTTGGAGATTGATATCTTTTAAACCATTAATCCGACTGGTCGCATTTCATATATTTGAGTTACACACGACAAGACCTTTAAAATAAGGCCAACAATGGATACATTTCACCTAAACTTTATTTTACCAATTTCAAATAATAGATTTCACTTAATTGAAAAAAACAGATTTCACTCATCTAGAAACACTGATTTCACACAATTGAAAATAATAATCAACTCATTTCAGAACAAAATCACTCATTAAAAATAAATTGATTTCAACATTCGAAAAAGATAAAAGAATTCCACTCATTTTAAATACTAATTTCACTTATTTCAAATAAAATACTTCACTGAAGCATGTATTAGTTGAAAAATTGAAACTTTGAGATTTAAAAAATTATTTTCCCACACTAATATTGATTGATTGTAATAAGTAGATTGAAATGTAGAAATTTAAACGTGTTTGAAAATTATGCAAGATTGATCTTGTTCTAAAGGTTTTGGCGCCAGTAGTTCAAATATATACAAAAAATCAACAACGAAATTATAGCTGAAAATCTATGAATGACTGAAAATGCCCAAGAGACTATAGAAGGCACATATGTACATGAG